TTTTTTTTTTTTGCTAGGTGAGATTTTGATTGAATGAAAAAAAATAAGACAAAAAAAGTTTGCTTTTGTTCAGAGGGTCGAAAAAAGCAGCAGTTTAATACAGCGTAAAATGCAGTAAAAAATTCCTTTAGTATTTCATCAAGGAAAAAATTTTTTCAAATGTTTCCTTCTATTAAAAATATTTTCACTGTTGCTGTTTAAGGAAATTTATCTTTTTCTGTTTGTTTTGGTTACGGAAGAAGAACTGACTTATGTTGCCTTCTTCTTCTTTTTGTCGTCTTCTTCACTTCATTATTCTTATTCTTCTCTATCTTCACTGAATCGACAATAACAGCAACAACACACATACACTTCTTATCCAACGGCCACAGCATCTTCTAACAATACCGTAGTCTATAATTCACCCGACATCAACATTGCTATTGTTTTGCCGTCTATCGTATTCGTTATATTGGTGGCCGCCGTTGTATACCCAAATTCTGAATCAGTGATTTGGAAGCAGTTGTCGACTAAAAGAAAACATAAAAATTGAATGGTCAAAATGTTGGAGAGGAAAAATGGAAACAGATAAATGTGGAAAGCTGATAGCAAAATTGGTGGGAAGAAGGACACTAGTCAAAGTTTGGCTTTTGCTGTAGAGTATAAAGATCAAAACACTTGAAATTCAAGTACGAGTTATTATGGTCTGGCTATTGAAATGAGACAATTAAAAGGAATTCTATGTTTTTTTTTTTCTGTTCAAAAATCACTGAAGTATTCCTGATTTCATTCTTTTTTGTTTAGTCATTCAGATTAGTATTTATGCTTGTCACAGTGACAAATTTATTCAACAGAGAAATTCAATCAAATAGTTATTGTTTTTCGGCTTATCAAAAAGAACAAAATAGACTTTAAAAAAAAGGAGAAAAAATAACTAGGTACATATGTGTACAAAATATGATTGTTATAACAAAAACACAGTTTGTATTAAAATTTATGCAACAGGGAGTGAGGGAGCTTTTTTTGTAAACCAACGAAAAATGAGCCGTCTTCATTAAGATAAGCTTTTTTTCTGCAATTGTTGGTAACCGAAAAAAATTGGAAGTTTAAAAAGAGCTATTTGTCGGGTAAACGAATTTAATTAATGACATCTGTACAAATCAGGCGTAAAACTGGTTGTTGCTTGAGATTCGTTAGTGTATAAATATTTAAATATGTAAGTACTAGTATGTATATATGACAGCTGAAGAGAAAGATGAGCAAATGGGCTCAAAAATATAGCATCATTTGATGCCAAAAATTTTATTTAAATATCGACATTAAAAAAAGATCTTTTCGGTAAACAAATAAGAGAAAAAACTTTAATTTTAACTGTATTATTGTGGAAGTCTCGTTGCTTACACAAAATAGTGTATATCCATAACGGTAACAGTTTACTTAGCTGTTCTTCATCCTTTGTTGCAAAAAAAAAAAAAAA